TCTGATCCAAGTGGTATACTATTGTCATGTTTCTTTACTCCCACAACTTTATTTTTTTCCTGGAGTTAGTAATGTCCTTTTCAAGTTGGTTTAGCACACTTTGTGCCTACTGTAAATTATCCACAATTACCTCCATACTATTTTCCAAAGTGTGACACTCAATGTAGTCTAAATGCTGTAACAAACAACTCCCAAAATCTCAGTGGCTTTATTCAATACAAGGTTATTTCTTCTTATGTTGCAGTTCAATGTGTGGCAGCCGGACTTTCTATGTCACATAAATATTCAGGGCCAGGAATTTCATTCATCTTGGGATTTTCATGTCTTCTAGGGCTTCAGAGCTCTTAATGGAGTCTTTACATCTGGATACTAATAAACAAAGAGAGAACTCATGGAGAGCCCCAGGAGTCATTTTATGGGCCTGGCCTAAATGTGTTGTACATCACTTCTACCCACTTTCCATTGGCTAGAACTCAGCTACATGCATCCCCACCTACAAAGGGCTATAAAATAAAATAAAATCTAGTACTGTGCCCAGAAGAAGAGAAGATCATGGAGTGTGATGAGACCTACCAATTTCCACTATAGAAACATTTGTTAATAATTTTCAAATGAGCATGTACATCAAATAATCTATCACTTTCTTTTCTTCCCCACCTCCCCTTGTAGACATTCCTACTATAAGCCATGCTTCTTCTCTTCAGACTCACTAAAATTTCCAGAGAATTACTTTTACTGTCTCCCACATTGGATCTGCATATTCTGTTTCATCTCTTCCTCTACTTTCTTTTAAGTTTGATTGAGGACTTGTCCTTAAATACAACACACAAAGTATTTTTCTGAAGTCCTTACACGTCTGAAAGTGTCTTTAATCACAATTGGCTGATAATTTGTCAGAGGACACAATTCCATGTTCAAAGTCATTTTATTTTACAAATGAGAAGATAGTCAAGGAAATTTCTGGGTACATTGTTGTTCTTATTCTTTTTCCTTCTATGTGATCTGTTTTCTGTTTCTGGATGATTTAGGTTCTTCTTTTCATTCCAGGGTTTCTATTGTCTCAGAATCATGCACCTTGGTCTATATGGTTAATTTAAAATTTATTCTCCTAAGCATTTAGTGGAACTTTTGATCCCCAAAGTTCATAGTCTTCATTTTTGGAATTATTTTTCCATTATTTCTTTTAATCATTTTTTTCCTATCTCTTTCTGCATAGATAGAACTCTTTTCTGAAATTTTCTGGGTTTTCCATTAGTCAGAAATTATTTTTCTATAATATTGTTTTCATTTCTTTAACTTTTGTTTTACTTTCTTGAAGTTTTTTCAACTTACTCTTCTAAGCCATCTGTCAAGTTTTTTAAAAAATTTGGGTATATTTTTAGTTTCAACAGATTTTTCTTCTCCTGTATATAAACTCATTTTTTATTCATTTTCTGTAGGAGCAGAGTACAAAGGCATGTGTTCAGTTCATCTTGTTGAAACACACATTACTTTAGTTTACTTTCTCCAGAAAATAAACCTCCAGTCTCCTGGAGGCTGGACTGAGAAGATGGAGGGTCTCATGTTTGGTTGGTTGGTTGGTTGGTTTGTTAGTTGGTTATGTGGCAGCAGGGAAGAGAACTTTGGGGGTTCAAGCATTCTGTAGAGAGACATCTAGCCAAAACCCTGTGTTTACCCCTCCACATGTCTCCTTCTATACTGATATTCCTCCTCTGAGGCCTAAGCCTGCACTTGGTGGATTTGCAGGGAGAAACTGACATTGCTCATAACATCTCCTAAAGACAGGCAGTGCACAGTCTCCTCTGTTCTTCCAAATCAGGGACCAAGCCTCCATCAGATTTAGGTTCTTCCAAAAATTCATTGTCAGTTACTGTAATTTTTGATATGTCTCTTTTCCTTTAGCATTCTCTTTTAATAATATTTAAAAATTACTTCTTCTTAGGTCAGCTGACAGCATGAGGTTAAGGTGACTGGAACCCACATGGCTGACTGCATGTTGCATTCCTGGACCCAGAGGCTTGAGAAACACACCAGTGCACGCATGCCCAGAATTTTTGAAGGAGAAATGGAGATGGGATTGTGGTGTAACGATCCCCCATGGGGTGTGATTTTCTACTTTCCCTCTCTCTCCAGCAAGCATGTGTGCACTCTGACAATTTTTTTTCTTAAATTTACTTATTCTTATATACAAGGAGCCTGAGGACAGGAAGATAAGACACTTGATTAATTTGCCATTTCTAACTAGACACCTCCCCATGTACACATATATCTATTTCAGCTCAGTGCTGTGGATATCGAATAAGACAGAAATGATGTTGTCTCACTCTGTGCTTCATAAGCTCTGGAACAGGAAGGCTTTGTTATTGTTATTGTTACTGTTACGACACATGACGCCCTTGTTTTCACTTTATTCAGCTCTACCTCTGCTTACATGGCCTTTGTGAAGCAGCCAGGCAACATTTCTCTCATGTCCTCCCGCCTCCTTCTATTTTGAGTCCCTCTTCTCACTGGGAAAGAAATGTCCCTCTGCTCTCCAGTAATGTCACCATGTTAACAGTCATGGCTCTGAGCCTCAGGACCTGAAAGACAGGACTGAACATGGCAAGTTACTCCAGGAGAGCTGTCCCTACAAGAGTTGAGCCTTCAAGACAGACACCACACTTATGGGGAAGGGTGACAAGGAGAGACAGAAAATGGGTGTGTTAGGGAGGCAGTGCAATGCACTGATCACCTGCCTATTTCAAAGCAGTGTTGTAAAAGACAACAGGATCTATGGGTAAGAGCTTATAACTCTACTGAATGTAGGAAATGAAGCTATTAAGATTGATGTGAGCAGTGACCACACTAACTAGTCAAAGAACATGAATTATCCTTGTGTCAACAGTGGAATTATTTCAAGGTTGCTATCTTTCTTTTATCTTCATCTAGGTCCACAGAGCCCACTTGTTATATACTTACACATTGCTGATGGATGAAAAGTAAAGATACATTGATAGATATAGATTCCCAGGATATGTATGAGAGGACTTCAAAAAGTTCATGAAAATGTGTATTGTGAAGAAACTGTATATGGATTTCAAAATATTTTTGCACTAAAATAAGTGCGCACTTTGATTTTTCCACATTTTATATTTTAAATATATATTTTTATATTTTTAAAGAGTTATTTTTTAACTTTATTTATTCATTTACTTATTTTCATTTGACCACAGAAGGACAGAGCAAGAGAGAGAAAGAGAGAGAGAGAGAAAAGGCAAGCTACTAGGTCCAGGACTCCAACCATGGTTGGTCATGTGGGAGTCCAGTGCCCTTCACCACGCCACCTGCCGGCTTCGTGTCCTTTATATTTTAAAGATCTGCAGTCTATACCTTATGTCAGTTCTTCTTGCAGGTCTGATTCAATTTTTATGGATGAAACCTTACTATGGAAGAGTAGAGTAAATTAGCACTACAAAATAATAAGCATAGCTGTCCTATCTATAGAACTTCCTATAACAGGCACTGCTCTATGAATCCCACTGATAGGAACTCAATTTCTCACCACAACACTGTGAAGGCATTATTATTATATTCCTATTTTTAAGATGAGAACATTGAGGCACATAAAATAAAATTTCCATAGGTTCGTAAGAGAACAAACAGATTTCTAGGGGGCTGAATATTTTCTCTAATATTCCTTCTCTTCATTATTTTGTTCTTATTTGTTGTTTGTTTGGGATTTTGTTTTCTGGCTCTGCCTTTCCACCTTTCCACAAAAAACTGCTCCCTGTTGGGTAATAACAGTGTCTCCCAGACAAAGTCTCTAAGGCACCCCATCAGAACCAAGCTGAAGATGAAAGTGTAAGCAGTTGTATCATTTTCTAGTACAACCTCAATGCAAGCAACAGGTTTGGAATTTTCGCATGCTTCACAGAGGACGAAATCACTGCTCATGTGTGTTCAATTTGTCTTATCTTTACCATGTCTGTAAGTTCGAGTGTCAGCATGTCTGAAATGTAATTCCAAGAGGCTCACCTAAGACCTTTACTGTAGGATGAATCTGAAGTTTCAGAATACATAGTAGGTACTTATTATACAAGTCCTAGACCCCATGGCTTAAAACTCACACTGTGTGTGAGCCTGCTGAAGATCCCTGGAGAAGGGCTGGAGAAGGGATTGCATAATGGCTATTCTTTGGTGGGGGGAAGCGTGATATCTCACTTTCTGTCTCTCTTTCTTGCTGTGTCTCTGGGGAGCTCACATCCCCTATAGCAAAAACCTCTCTCTTAAAAAAGTACTGATTTATTTTGATGCCAAAAAAGAAAAAGAAAAGTGAACTCCACACCCCTCTTTTTCATACAACCCACTTTACACTAACTTTTTGAAGACCCCCGGGATTTGTTCAATGACTGTGTGCTCATTATTTTGTTTAATAGCAAAGCGTATGGATCTCCCAAGGGACTCTAGGGATGGTGCATACTGACGTGTGTGCATAGGTGCACACGCTAGGTTTCAGGATTCCAGCTTCCTCCTGATCTCTCATTCCCTTCATTTCCCGAGTGCTTTCTCTGCTCTTGACCTCTTTACACAGTTGGTGAAACACTCCTAAGGGGGAGAGAATGCCCTGCCCTGGGAGCAGACCTCAGTCCTAAGCCCTTGGGCTCTTTGAATGAGACATCAAAAAAGAAAATTTAATTTTTTTTTTTTAAAGTTAAAATGCGCTCGCTGCTAGGGCTCAAAGCCCCACCGTGTGGAGAATTTAACCCGGAGCCAAGTGTGTTTCTCTTGCAGCTGTTGAGTCACCGGCAGGATTCGCCGGAGGTGTGCTGGGCACATCCGCGTTGCGACTCGCAGACACGCCTCCTTCTCACACAAGCCTTCCAGACCCGAGTCGGCGCGACTGGGGGACTCAGGGGTGGTGCCACCAGCCCCGCCACTTGCCACCCTGACGGGCAGGGTCTGGGGACCGATCTGCGTTAGACCGATCCGGTGCCACAGGTTGGAAAAATAAAGTGCTGTCCCCATGATTGTCGTCTGGTGAAGCAGATCCTGTGTCATTGCTGGGGCGAAGGCCACGCGTTCCAGGCTTGGAAGAGAAGGAACCTCGCTGAAATCTGACGCCCAGCCCTCTCGGCCAGGAAACTGCAAGGCTGGTGAGTTGGGGAAGGCGGGTGCCGCTGGCAGGACGCGTTCCCACCCGAGCAGGGTGCGCGAGGGCTGGCCTGCGCGAGGCAGCGGGGCGCAGTGGGAGGCGCGGGGCGCGCGGCGGGGGGGGGGTGGGGGAGCCGCGGGCCGGCGGTCTGAGCTCCGGCCCGTGTGGCTGAAGTGTGAGCGCGACCCGCCGCGGTCTCCATCCGAAATCCTGGGGAGGACGACAGCGGGGATGTGTACCTGCCCTGAGAAAGGCACGGCGAACTCCAGCTGCTGCTTTTCGGTTTGGTGTTTGCGAGTCGAACATCTGGTTAGGACAAAACGAAAGCGAGAACAAAAACCCTGGACACAGCAATGTCACTTTCCTACCATTTGTCTCTCAAGAAACTACCGAAGCAATTAATGAGTAAGAAGGATGGTACGTTTAGAGTTTCATTCAAGTGACTTCCTGAAGCAGGTCCAGGAAGTGGGAACACATTTTCTTACACTTCTTCAGGTGAAATAGCCACGTAATAGTCATTTCTGTTTTCCAGGTTTTTGCTTTGTGACTTGAGAATTCTGATTTGAGTGTTGGAGGTATTAAGAGGGTGTGTGTGTGTGTGTGTGTGTGTGTGTGTGTGTTTTCAAGTGGTCACAATAAATTAGCCTCCAAGATTTTCTCACCCAATGCAACATTATCTAACTAAACATCTGAAACTATTGCAGCAGAAAAATTGTAAGCAAAGTCTGGGTTCCTAGGAAAAGCTGTGCTTGTTTAAGGCTGTCCCACCTGTAGCAGGTTTACTGGCTTCTTACATCAAGAACGGAAAGGAAGCATGTATGATTCCAGGTGTTTAAATGGTACATCATGAAATTAAGCCCAAATTAGTAACATGTAGTTTTGAGGTTGGTAGCAACATAATTATTATTACTTAACATAACAGAGCTATGAATTTTTACTTCTGTTTCAAAGAAAAATGTCTAGAGTTTCTGATATCTAGTTACAGTCATACATATTCAGTAGGATTATACTAAGAGAATAGAGACAGTTTTGTAATTATGAATTTTGAAAAGTTGACAGAGAAAATGGTCTTCGGCATTACTGTAAGGCCGGTTAATCAAGTTTAGTGAAACTTCAAGGTACTATAAACAAATCGTAGGTATGAAGTGAAAACGACACTTATCACATGCCATTGCCTCAATAGTTATTTTTTTGCAGTCTCCTAACTTAATCCTCTAACAACCTAGGATCAGCCATTCTTGGAAGTCAGAGGGGATTCCTATGAATGTCAAAAATAGTCATTTGACAGTTTAATATTATGGGAGCTCTTCTGCTAGAGAACTGCTATAGATGCCCATGCAAGGTTGCCATCCTTGCTTTCAAAAGAAAAATAAGACATTTCAGATGAAACTGGATGAGCCTGTTCTCACAGTTGCCAACAAGAAATAAAGGGAATCTGTCGACTGTCAGCAGACCACAGCTTTCCTTTCCCATAGGCATTTCTGGAGCAGGCATGCTTGATCTGACATGGAAGGTGACCCTAATGTAATTGAACTTCTCGGGTCCCTGGTATACCAGTTTATACTAAAACTGTCTGCTGGTTTCAGGATTGATGTCCGTTTATTTGTTCTTCTGGAATGGTGGAAGTCATCCAAAGTCTCCGGTCACACAGATATCTGTTCTTTTCTCACCGTCACTCTTGAAAATTTCAGATATTTTTTTGTCTGTCAAGCCAGTAGAGCATGAAATGTACACAAGTATTCACATAAAGCTTGCCTCATAATTAATCCAGTTTCTTGAGTTGATTCACCAAGGCAGGTTAACCAATAGTTCAGCTCTTAAGCAAGTAGTTGCAATATAGAGATTCAGGAAAACGATTACAGCATAAACAGGACAGACCAGTGTTCCCCATGAGTATATCACTTTCTAAAGATGGCTGCCAAATGGGAAATTTATTTGTTGTAGGTATATTTGGGGCTTAGGTCCATAGGAATAAAAAGCAGCAGCATCATTGAGTATAATATCAAACCCATTGTATAGGGCTGATTCCATAGCACCCTGGTTAAGCACTGTACAAAGGAAATCAGATCCCACATAGCCGACCATGGCTTGAGTCCCCACCCAACGTTACATGCTTGGTGTGTGCACGCTCATGCCCTAAATCCTGATGGAATGAAGAACTGAGGAAAAAAGATGGCAATATGAGCAGCCACATTGAGGGGTATTTTCTCTTTCTCTCTCTCTCTGGTGTGTGTTGCCTGCATAATAAAATTAAAAATATACAGAGAGAGTTAAGAGTATTACTTACTTGTTTTACATACTTTGCAATAATGAGTCATGTTCTCCAAATATTAATCTCTCAAGTGAGAAAACTTACATATATTTCTAAAAAAGGAGAAAACTTTGTCTTGCAAATAGCCAAAACAATAAGTCCAGTCTTTTGAAATAATGTATTGAGAAAACTTACATATTAAGTTGCTTGCTCATTTATTCAGCAAATATTTATTAATAATGTCAAGCACTCTAGGCTCTGTGTGAGCAGTGGATGATGCAGTTAAAAATCCCTGAGCCCCTGGAGCTTGTCTTTTTCTGGGGTGGTAAAAAGTTAAAGAGCAAGCAAGATAAGCAAGGTAAATCTCTGGTCCTTACAGTTATGTGCTAAGGAGAGAATAGAAAGCAGAGAAATCTATAGAAGTGTAGGTGACATAGGCCTCAGAGTAGTAAAATTTTAAGTCAGGTGTCTGAGAAAAGCCAGTCTGAGATGATATTCCAATATGGGCCTAAAGCAAGTAAGGGACTCAGCCATGTGGGTTCGAGGAGGAAGAACATTCCAGAACAGCAAGCAGGGATTTGCCTGGCACACTCCAGTAACAGTGAACCTGTGCACTTGGAACAGAGGGTGTGAAGAAATGGAGGGTGGAGGGGAGGAACAATAATAGGGCCAGGTCATGGAGGACTTTGGAGGCTCTAATAGCCATGTTGGCTCTTGGGTTTTATTCTGAGTGAAATGACAAAACATTATGATTTAATATATGCTGTTGAAGTTTTTTAGCAAATAGTCATTAAGCATTCTATGGACTTCAATATTCTTCTAAGCACTGTAGTTGACAGAGGTTGATAAAACAAACAAGGCCTCTGTTGTCACAAAATTATGTTTAAGGGTGGGGAGGTAGGCTCATAAACAGATTAGTGATTTCGTAAGTTTCAGTATCAATAAGAAAAGAAAAGTGCACAGGATAAAATTATAAGAGTAACTTACAAAGGACTCTTCCAGTGTAATTCGGTGGACAGGAAAAGCCTCAGGGAAAGGGACCTTTTTCAAAGATCACTTTGGCTTCCTGGAAGACAATGGGCTGTAGGGTGCCCAGAAGTCAGAGATGACAGGCACAGATTAGGGTCAGAACTGTGATCCTCATAGAAGCAGCTGGATTCAGGAAATGTTTGAAAGGAGAGCTCACATGACTTGCTAATAAATTGAACACAGGGTAGGAATGTAGAAAAGGAAGAATTGAAATGATTGGCAAGATTTGTACTGAAAATACGGGGAAGATGGTGAAGCCATTTCCAAAGATGGATAAAGCTAGGGGAGAGATAAGTTTGAAAAGGACATGAACAATTTATTTCCAGACCTTTGAGGTGTCTTCATGTACCTAAGTGGAAATATCAGACTGGGTGTTTGCATGGTTGAATCTGGAGGACTTAGAGGACATCATAGCTAAATACGGACATTAGAGAATGAAGTGCCTGTGGACTCTATGTGGAGCCCTGGTCAGGCAAATATCGCCTAGAGAGAGGGGAGAGAGGGGCTGAAGGACAAAGCTCTGGCTTAGTCTCCCTTTAGGAACCTTGCATAGGAAGAGTCAGTAAAAAGTCAGTCAGATAGGAGGTAAACCAGAATGGAATGTCGTCAGGGATCCCAGACAGGAAGTGTTTCAAGAAGAAGGTCATGGTCTACCAGGTCTCATGTTGCTAAAATAAAGAATGAGGTGAAGACAGGAAAGTGAGCGCTGCATGTCACAATAGGACATCACTTGCAACTTGGCTAAAAGGTGGCAGTGTCAGTGTACTCAGAAAAATTAACCATAAAAACGTTCTGGAAATCGTATTTCAGCTACTCCCAAAGAAAAGTTGAAAAGAGACCACTAAACACATGAGGCTACCTAGAGGTTTAATAAAATCGATTCAAAAATAGCTTGTAAAACAGATGAAAAGGACAAATAATGAGAAATACAGGCGAAGGTATTGCATGAGCTAGAAGCACAGCTTTAAGAGTAAAACTCAAAGTAGGTCGAAACTTGGGAAGAAATTGCCATGGAGAGCTAGGTTCTTCCAACATTGTTCAGAACAAGGCAGTGAATAAGGAAGAGTCATTTCATACCATATTGATGGATGTGAGAGAAAGTGGACTTACTCGATTTCTGTTTTACCTCTTTCTTCTTTCTATATGTAAGAAAATAGCATTCAAACTCAAAGGATTAGACAGCACTGGAAGAAAATGAAAATTGAAGAGAGTTGAGGAGTTATTGTGACAGCAGGTGACTTCTTTAAATGGGAAAGAATGATGATGGGAACTTCCAAGAAGACCTTGGTGGGAAAATACCATTTTAGTTGAGACCTAAAGGATATCTGGATGCCACTCAGGTAAAGAAGCAGGAAAGAACAAACCAGACAGAGCTGAAGCATCTATGAGTTTCTAGCATGGAAAAAAGCTTGGTGCACTCAAGCCACCGAGAGAAGAGTTTGGGGAGTGGAGGCAAGTGGTGTGGAGGGGCACAGGTAACATTGGGAAGGCCACTGGGGAAGTCACGACAAGGACTGGGTAGGACCCAGAAAGAGTGAGAAGTGAGCAGCCCAAGACTTATGTGTCAGAAGTCTTGCAGAGATGGCTTCCATTGGGAAGTTGAACTGAATGAACTTCAAGCTCTCTGCCAAAGCTCCATTTTGTACAAATACAAAAACACAACTTATTTAATATTTCATAGATATTCTAGATGAAAAATTAAGAACTGGTAGTGAAGGGCC